GGCAAGGAGGAAGCCGGTGTTCGTGAAAGTGGATCAATTGAAGCCGGGGACGAAAGGGCACACGCTTGCAGTGAAGGTTCTCGAGTCGAAGACAGTGCTGCAGAAGGGCAAGGCGGCATCTGCACATCTACGACAGTCGAAGATTGCCGAATGCATCGTTGGAGATGAGACGGGGACCATCATTTTCACTGCCCGCAACGATCAGGGTTTGTTTTACTTCCACCCCTTTATCTTACGACGTCTCTTCATATCTGCTTCTCTTTGATTTGCTGGTGTCGTGTTTTAGGTTAATCAATGTTTTTCTTGGGATCGATTAAAGTAGGTTGGGATTTTGTTAGTTTGTTCCATCTCTGGCGAAGAAAAGATTGACAGATTAGAGTGGCATTTACTTCTTTTTCGCTCTTACGGGATTGTGCATTCAATTATTTTTCAAGTGGGTTACGTTGAGTTGTCTGATTGGAAGACGCCAAAGCTTTCCAATCGGCTTATTTTCCCGTGCCCGAAGCTTCCAAGAAACCCTGATTAGGGACACGTATAGCAGCTTACAAATAAAATAAACATGTTGTTTTGTTTGATATTTAGTGCATTATGCTCCAGTTGTCAGCTCACCTCAATGTTATAAGTGGTCATAGAAAATACAACTGGCACACTTACGTAGAATTAACATTTGGGTGTTTCATGAGAAGGATGTCGTTATGCCAATGGGAAGAGAATACAAAAGATACACCATTCCTTTTGCCTGCCAGAATTTGGTTACAAAAAATAATCCAAACTCATATTGAAACATAGTTTTTTTTTTTTTCCCTCAATTGCTTTGAACTTATCTGTAAAAAGAGCTGCTTGGATATAAGTGTATTCATATGAACATTAATAGCTACACATCTAAGAAAAATTTGGATAACGTTCTTTCTAAAATATGTTTGATACTTTTACCTAGCAAGCAATCAAACTTTTTACCAACATGTTCAAGTAAAACGACTCTAAACAATGGCTTGGAACCTCTACAAATGGTTCTTATTCAGTTGCACTTTGATTTTTTTTTTTTTAATTTAAATTGTTTACACTGCCCTCTTGAACTACAAGTGTTGGCTGCTTCCAACAAGTAAGCAAAAACTGGGCAAAGATAGAAAATGCAACTGAAGCACAAATGGAAAAGGAATAGTGACAATCTTTAACTGAAAATGGAGAGAAAGGATTGTAGAGGGAGACTGATAATTTGGATTTGTGAGGGATGGAGCATGGTCTTGGAGGTGTTTTAGTGGGTGAAGAATGGGGATTGAACTCTATGTGTGGGGTTCTGTAAGAATATTTCTCAGAGATGAGGGTCGATGACCTTGGTTTGAGTGTTTTTGCTTACAAGAGTGGCAATGCATCATGAAAGGGGTTCAAGAAACAATGAGTATAACCTCTCTAGGGGTTCAAGTGGTGAGACTGCATGATGGAAAACCTTGTTATATTAAAATGCTTAAACTTTTGGCGTCAATTTCTTTCTCAGTGAAGGATGGTGATTCAATATAGAAGAGGTTCAAGTGGCATTGGTTGTTTCTTCTTCAAAGGTTTGCAACATCATTAAGTTTTCTAAGGAACATGACAACACATATTTTGAAAGTAGTGGATTTAAAATTTGGGCTTTCAAAAATTTCCCTTAAATTTTGAAAAAATAAGGTGTATACTCATATTTTTTTTTGTTTTAATTCATGAATTTATATGGGTTATTGTAAACGATTTGAAATTTCCAACAACATTTTTAAATAAATCAATAAACATTATTTGCTAAATAAGGCCATTTATTATAATCGCTTCAATTTTTTTTTAAAGCAGAAAAAAGTTCCAAGAAATAGGCTTGTTTTTGGTTTTCAAATCAAATAGTGTTGCTATCTTGAAATATGGTAAATACCCATTGAGTTGTTCTAACTCATTTTTAAAACCTTGTTTTATGAAATTAACTTTAAAATGACATCAACATTGTCACTTCCATTGAGCCATAATGGATATCATAAAACTTTTATATTATTATTTAATAGTGATGGATAATACTGTAATATGATATTGTATTTTATAAAAATTGGAACCTTAGAATTCTTATTTTCAATCTAGAATATTATAGATCAATTCTAATGTTAATCCATAATAATTTTTATAGCTATATAAACTAAATAAATTAGAAACAATATCTAAAATTATTAATGCCATTAAAGGTGTAATAATCATCATACATAGTATAAAATGTCATGGTAAGTTGAAATACTCAATTTATGGTTATAAAGGTTTTATTGCATTGTTTTTTATCTGATTTATATTTCCCTTTTAAGATTGAACTTTGATAGTTTTTGGCCTCCGATTCCATACTTGTATTTGCGTAATAATATTGAATGCAATTTAATATGTCATTCGTTATTGTTAATTTCAAATTTCTGTAGTTTTATTATTGCATTCTGCAGGTCACACCTATGGAAAAAAGGCGTGTTTAACATCCTAGCTTTGAAAAGTTGCTCACAATCACGAGAATTGAAAGCTCATGAAGCACATTATCTTTTTATACTTAGAAAACTGATAAAGTGAAAAACCATGGGGCATACCCTAGACAAAAAAATACACTAGGTTGAGAAACATTTGGTCACTCTTCCTTGAAATTGGAGCAAATGTTAGTATGAAGAAAAGATCTAGATTATATAGAAAGTCACATGGTGTAGTGAAGTGGGATATCTGAAGTCATTGTTATGGATGGAGGAAGGTGGCTAGAAATATTCTTTATCTTGGAAGAAGAGGGGGTACAGACAACATTCTGAATTGGTGAGTCCTTTGTAGTAGTTAATCGGAGATGGTGGATTGAACAACTTAGAAAACCGATAAAGTAAAAAAATCATGGGGCATACCCTAGACAAAAAAAAAAGAAAAAAAAAGGGAAAACACTAGGTTGACAAACATTTGGTCACTCATCCTTGAAATTGGAGCAAATGCCAGCATGAAGAAAAGATCTAGATTGCATAGAAAGTCACATGGTGTAATGAAGTGGGATATCTGAAGTCATTTTTATGGGTGGGGGAGGGTGGCTAGAAATAATCTTTATCTTGGAAGAAGAGGGGGTACACACAACATTCTGAATCGGTGAGTCCTTAGTGGTAATTAAGTGGAGGTGGTGGATTGAACAATTGAAATCGATACAATACTAAAAGTGTTGGGAGACAGTAGAGCTAATCGAATGAAAATTTAGGTGGCAGCATTGTTGGGAGAATTTCGAAACGGCAGGTGGATAAAATTTGAAAACATTGAGGCAACAAAATGGAGCATTAGGGCTGTAGAATCTTGCATCACCAAAATAGGAGGATCAAGGAAAACTAGCATAATTTGGGAACATATCTTGGAGCTTTAGGACTACCAATTGGAGCTTTCAAGGGTAATTAAATAAGTTCTAATTTTTTATTTAGTAATCAAATAAGATCTAATTTATTATTTTTTTGTATTCGATATGTTATTACAATATTTCTTATATGCATATAATTCTAGTATAAAAAAATTAAAATATGTTTACAATTATCTTTAAGAGGTAGCTAGAGACTTAGAATTATCTTTAATTTAAGAATTTAGGATATGAAAAATGAAAATAATTTGGTCTACTCATAGATTTTGATGGGTATTTTATCTCTTCTATGGTTATATTTCGCAACATTCTCTTTTCCTTTCAATAACAATCAAGTTTGATCACATTCTTTTTTTTATAACAAATTGATTTGGGTTGGCCTTGTCCAACCTGTTTGGTCTAGGTTTTGATTTGTTCTAGCGATCAATGTTGACCGTGTGGTGGCGATCTCCCTTGGCGAAGTGTCCAACTATTGAACATATATAACATGCTGATGCTCTTGATGTGAGGAATCTAACAAAGTTGATGTATTGAAATTCTTATGATCAGATTGATGGGAAAATTTTGAGATGATTTGTGAATGAAATTTAGGGACAATAGAGAAATGGTGATTTTAAGCCTCCATTTTTGCATCAAAATGTTCATAACCTTGAGAAAAATGCAAAGTTATAGAAGGCTCTTAAATTGGATGTTTAGAGATGTTGTACAAATTTGTAAAGCTTAAATTTAGTTGAATGAGCAGTGCGATATGAAAATGACATTAAGAAAATTGGACACAGAGGCAACATTGCTCGTGATGAGCACAGTTCTACTTGTTATTTTGAAGCACTCCATCTTCCTGCACCTTTTCTTGCATGTAACATCATCAACCTAATTGTGGTTATATAAAATTTACCAAATTAAAGACAACATAACATATAATTCATAGACTGTTGTGATGTTCTGAGGTAGGGATCCTTCACAGTTGGTATAATTTATTTTCTTGTTTCTGGGAAATTTGGCATCTACATTCATGCCATTGCCGTCAATGCTACCAACACAATCTTGTTCATCATCAAAACATTCAAAAGGTTTATTGTATTATAGAAACATGATGATAGCGATACATATTATTATGGGACATTGAAATAAAGCATTTATTTTTCATCACATCATATTCCAATTGGTATATTTTTAAATCAGAAATAATCAGCTTTACCAAGTCAAGTGATCGCTACAACGGTGTTTCTAAGTGTTTGTTGAAGTTGTAACTAATAGTCTTAGTAGACTCTTGGATAGAGCTATAAAAAAAGCTCGTTGTTCGCTAATATCTTGTGTTTGGTTCATTAAGTAGTTCGTGTTTCGTTAAGAAAATGAGTTGAACACAAACCAATTTTTCAAGCTCGATATATAAACAAACTGAACGAACAACTATTTTTTCGATTGTGTTCAGCTCATTTTAGCTAGAAATAAAGCAATCATATATATTATTTATAGAGTAATTTATTATAAATATTATTTATATAATAATATATATTATATATATTTATAGCTAAGTTTAAATCATAACAACTCATGCGGTCCCGTAGTTCTACACCTTTTATTGCACATAATTGTTGTAGGTTCAAATCTAGCACATTACACCTATTTTTTTTAATTAATTTAAACGAGTCAATTTCGAACCAAACACGAGCTGAACATGCACAAGAATATGTAAATTCAGTCGAACACGAATATGCTGTTCACGATCAATTTCGAATACAAGCCAATTTCAAACACGAGACAATTTCGAACGAGTAGAACACGAGCCAAGCCTGAGCTCGCTCATGCTTAGCTTGTTTACAGCCCTACTCTTGCAAGTGTTATTGTGGTGATCTTTGTATATTCGCCATGCCATGAAAAATATAAAATGATGGCAAAAGCCTCTATTTCTTCCATGCAGTCCACAATATCACTCCAAATGATCCAATAGATCAATACAAATTTTTTGGGATATCTTAAGCATGTTATAGACCTTGTTGAGTAGCAGCTGACTGACCCACTTTCCCTGACTAGTCTATGGAACTATGCATGGTGCTTTCACCATGTGTTCTTCAAAATGAGTGCAAAGCAACCCAATGAAGCCTAAGTGACAAAATATTACTCATGAGCACTCTCAAGTTTATGCAGCACAAAAACTGGGTTCAAACAATGAGCTGTTCGAAAAAAAAAAATGGAACAAGGATGATACAAAGGTAGCTAATACGTGTAAATAATTAGGCCATCTGGTGGCAGTGTTGATATACCCAAGGATCCTTCAATCTTGCATATATGGTGCTTTTAATCCTGTTTGTCAAATTCAATGCCTTTTCTGGACAACTACTCAAATTTCTAAATTGCATTTGAAATTTACTGTTACTGCTTTCAATTTGTAGAGGCTGACTTGAGAGTTCTTCTCAAACAACATGGAAAGCACAAACTCAAATCCAAGTCTTTTTAGTTAACAGAAAAACTCGGGGCTGCAATATTTATTAGTGATAAAAACATGAATCATTGTAAGATTTTAAGGTTCAACATTTCCGATTCAATCAAACAATGGCGCTACATCTTTCTTTAAAATTGAAAGATCAGCTCAACTTCAAAGCATCCTGAAATTCAGATATAATATGATTCAATATAAACATGTGACATTTCTGAGTCAATAAAACAACAGCGCTACACTTTCTTTAAAATTGAAAGATTTGCTTAATTTCAAAGCATCCTGAAATTCAGCTATAATATGATTCGAAAATATGTGATTCTGTCAAACGGTAAAATAGTGGTTGACATCAACAATGTACCTAAAACATTATAACTATCCCTAAATAAAAACTGCTCTGGATTCATAACAACCCTAAAGTAGCCAAGGCTCAAATAAATGGTGCGGGTACTGCACTCTTTTTGGTATGGAAATCCTCTTGCACTAGTGTCTTCCAGAAGTGTTAGAGAATATATATATATATATAAATTTAGATCATTATGGGTCTGGGATGCTTCAAAGTTCAATTACAACAACCATGATCGTTGGTGGGTCTTGCTTGTTTGAGTTTGAGACAACTTATACTCACGCTGTTGTGAATTAACTGAACTTTTAATTTATTGCTCACTACAGAAACTTCTGTTCTCATGCTTCTTCTTTCTAACTGGACAAGTCAAGATAGTCCTCTCAGATTGTCTATTCTTTTGCTCACTTCGAGGTTGCTGATCCACATATTGAGAATTATCAGAATCCTCATTGCTTTTGGCTCAGTCATTTGTACTTGTCCTTGGTAACCATACTTCACTGGTTGCCAATACATCCGTAAACATTTGATCTATTTCTCCTCAACTTCCCTGATCGTTTTCATCATGCCTAGATTTTTATACAGTTAGTGTGTTGGAAGATCCAAATAATACTCAATATAATATGTAAGACCATCCATTAAAATTACAAAAAGGAGAAAAAACAATATCTTCCCTTCAAATTCCTTTACAACAATCCCCAGATGCAGAGCTCCTTCTTTAAATCCATCCTAAACTTTTCAAAACCCGCACACGAGTTCCTTTTTCAAGCTCTTAGCTTTTCAATTGGACCCATTCGTTCATCAATTGGGTTTTAGCCGATGGCCTATTTGGTTTATCCTCAGGCGCGTAATCAACCTCTGAAATTTTCTGTGTTAAAATATGTTTTTTTTTTTTTTGCAAAACTCAATCCATCCAGGCAAACGACCTAAAATAAAAAAAAAAATCCTCACATCCCTTTAACATGTCTTAGAGATGCCAATATAACGTTTGGCGTTCCTGTTTGTAAGCTAATGAAAATACGTGCACACCACTTTATATTATAATAATAAAACCTTCTTCGAAGTATAATCTACAACAATGATATTCTATTTCTCAGTACTCGTGTTTGGGTAAGTAATTTTAGTTACCCGCTAAAAAAAACTCATTCTTTGCTACCGTTACCCTAGGCAAAGCTTGAATCAACAATAAACTCTCTCTCTCTCTCTCTCTTCTGCTGCTTTTGACCATCTGAAAGAAACTTCATTTTACCGATACATATTTTATTTGCTTTTTTTATTTTGCTGTCTTTGTTCAAATGAACTCAAAAACATGAGTAATTGGTCTAACCAATCAAAACTACATTGTTTAGATAAATGCTCGACCCCAAAATTATTCAACCTTGTTTGATGACAAGGTAATATTTAATTGAATAAAATCTTACTTGGTGTACTCTTATCGAGACGCACTTAATTGTTGGCTGTCAAAAGACTTGTTTTATGGTCCCAGGTAGTGTGGATTGCACTGAGATTCATGTTTGTTGTCTCTATTGTCGTAAACTTGCTATCAATTACTTGTGTAAAATTAAAAAGCTCCAAAACCTCTTGGAATTATTGTGGGCCTTGCACCTCTATGACCTGCCTTTATTTGTACCTTGTGAGTTGGGGAGAAAACTTCATGGTTGTCCTTCAGAACAATGGAGTTCATTTTTGTTGCATCCCAATGGGAAATTGTTTCTCCTCAGATATTTCCTTTCTCCCTTCAATGAAACCTCCATCCAAGTTGATTTTCTTTCTTATTCTGTCTAAAAGTGTCTGTGGGAGAGATGCACTTGAAATCAAAATTTTTTAATTTGAAAACAATTGGTGATTGCCGACCCAAACTCATGTTTTTTGGCTCTTGGAACTTTTAACTGATTTCCATGATGAGAATCTTGACGTTGCATTTTAAAGATAATAATAATAATAAATCTTGACGTTGCAATAGATCTTTTTATTTCCTGAGTTGATGGTTTGACATTGATGGCTTTTGCTTTCGGCAGAGTTGTGTCTTCCTCCAAGCTATTTGGGCCAAGTGATTTGGGGTGTTGTGGTGGGAGGTCCAAGGGTGTTTCTTAATTTTGCATTTTGCATGAATTTTAAAGTTTATTTTGGATGAGCATCAACTCTTTTATGGTTATTCCAAATAACACATAACAAAGTCTGCAGGTATCCTTTCATGTTTGTAGTTTTGTTTTATGCTGCGACGGAGCTGTCTTAATTGTAGAACGTATTTCCATTTTTTTTCATTTTTGGATGAGTTTGTGCCAATTATGAGTCATTTTGTTATTTTAAATAGATCTTAAAATAAATTTCAAGAAAATTCAAATGTAGTTTTTCTTTCAAGTTTGAAGTTAAAAATTGAGAGCCCGTGGAAGAGCAGCTGTGTTTGGCTGGTTGGGTACATGAATCTGCCTACGCACATGCATGTTTGGACCCATTTTTTGGGCTATATTGACCTTTTCTATATTTCAATACCATATGGCTGTTTTGTGGGGTTTTAAACTTAATTCTAGCTTTTTTAAGCCCCAACTGAGCTTCAGGAGACAATTTCAAGTTATTTTAGAGAATTAAAGTCTATTTTTTAACAATATTTGTCTTGAAAAACTTGCTTGATTCATTAAACCAAAAGGCAACCATGTATTTGGGTTATAAACTTTCAGAATCAGCTCCAAAGAACATTTGAACGCAGTTTTCATTAAGTTTATACTCAACACAATGCAATTAGGCAAGATGTTTTAAATAGTACAAAGAATGTATTAATCCTAGTCTAAATAGGCCTACGAGGCTGTAGAATATAATTAGGAATTTTTTAGACCATTTGAGGGGTCAAATTGTTCTTAAATTTTGCATGTTTACAGTTGTACATTTATGTCACTTAAATCTTTCTTATCACATAAAAAGTGCCTCTAATTTAACCTTTAACAGGGGAAATACACCTTTTTATGCCTAGTTAAGGTGGTGGAATATATGTAGAAGTTAAAAGTTCTGGTGTTGGATATGTAAGTACTAGGAATTAAGTGGTAAGTATGTAAAATTGTGGTAAAAGTTCTGGAAACCATCCACGAATTTATCAAATAAACTGCTGTAAGTTGTATCTGGGCCATTTTTCAGTTAAGGGAGTTGGTATGTAGCCAAAAATGTTGATATTTTTGCACGCTCAAGTTGCTGACTTTGTTATATTGTAGATTGTTTTCCAAATTTTAAATGTTTTTATGTTGTTGGCTTACGTTGATTATAATGTTTTCGGCAGTTGATATGATGAAGGCTGGCGCCACAGTGATTCTCCGCAACGCGAAGATTGATATGTTCAAGGGGTCCATGAGGCTGGCTGTGGACAAGTGGGGGCGTGTCGAGGTCACCGAACCCGCGAGCTTCACCGTCAAGGAAGATAACAATCTGTCTTTAGTGGAGTATGAGTTGGTTAATGTGGCCGAAGAGTGAAAATAATTCTTAATCCGCTCCCACCACCACCCCACTGTTATACAAAATATATTTGGATGGACAGAAAGGCTTTTATGTATCCCCTCCCTGATCATTTAACAAGGCAATTTGTGTTATGTGGGCAAGCTTTTCTTATGTTGATTGTCTTCCTTGAAAAAACGTTTTATTTTATTGGTTTTACACTTTGTATGCATTTTGCTCATTGAATTTCTTTTGTCAAAATGGATTATCTTTTTTCCTTTCCGTTGGTTGTGGTCTGTTCATTTGCAGCCTTTATTATGATAATTTTAGTGTTGAATATTTAATTTTATAAAGTACATGATTTGTGTATGTAAATCTTAGAATGCTAATACAATTCATAAATGTAATTTTAATGATAATATTGATGTATATTGATGCCCCTAAAAGGTAAACCTGGTTAGTCAATGCTATACAGATTTGATGATCTTGATTTATTGATGTACATAGGTGGCTTTTCATTCGCTTCAATTTTAAACTGAGCTGGGCCAGACAATGATTTAAACCCACCTTAAATTTTGATTCATTTTAAAGATCAAGTCTAATTAGCTACAAATGCAGTTGTTTTAAAGACCCGATTTTACTTTTTCATCTGAATTGTGTACTTTATAAATTGATTAAGTTAGTCGAGCCGAATTTATCGAGTTGAGCCGCTCTAGCAAGAAATGATTTAAATGATGAGTCTTCACTTATAAAATGCAAAAAACACCTCAATATGAACCCCAACCCGATGGGGGGTAGAATTGTAATAGTCTCGTTGAAGTTAATCCCTTATAAGTAGTGGAGCATTTATTGAAGAGAGGGTTTCGTAGTTTTTACTGTTCATTTGAGAAATTATAGCTCCACTGCATAAATCATCCCTTTTATCTTTTCACTCTCATCGCACGTTCTATTCATTGAGTGTGATTCGCAGACATTTTTGAATGAAAAATCTTAAGAGGTGAATTGAGAATGAATCATGTACCAAACAAGAAAAGCAACAAACTAACAAGAAGAATCTGTTGATAGGGAGACCAACGACAACATGGAGTGCATTCGAGAGTTTTTTACCCAAAAAAGTCCAAGATCTAAAGGAATG